GGCCGTTCAGCCTGTGGTTCCCCGAGGACGACGCGTACCGCAGGAGGGCGGGGTCGTGGAGGTTTTCCCTGGCGAGCTCATGCAGGGGCGTATTGGACTGATTTGTCCTCTGGAGGCCCAGCAGACTTTATGGTGGAGAGCATCTTGGGCATCATCTGAGCTTTTAGAATAAATTCCCTTTTTAAAGATTTGCTTCTGTGGTTGCGCTGCTTGCCTTGGTTTTAGAACCTATTTTTATCTGTTAATTTTAGTGGCACCCTTTATATCCACCTGATACGTGTCACACATGCACATAGGACTTTGAGGGGTGGACAAGTCAGGGGGTGCGGGTATGGACCCCATTTCCGCATTCCTGTGGCAGCCTGCCCCCCAATTTTATTTGCATATTAAACACTTCCACTATCGACATTCCACGCAAACACACACTTAGGGCCTTGGGAGTGAGCACATTCAACGGCAGTTGGCAGGGGGATTTTTCAGCCTCATCCCAGGTGCCGGTGCGCACTTCCAATTTTAAACTGCACTTAGACACTGAGGGCTGTGAGTGCAAATGGGGTAGTGTGGTGGCATCAGTTGGCATAGGCCAGACGATGCCCGCACTGCCCGCTCACCACAGCCATGGAATACACCTCATCAACACACAACACTGTATTGGAGCAGGCGGAGGGAAACTAGGGGTCTTAGCACACCGCTGTTGTCACTTGGCTTCCCGGGGCTGGAGGCTAGGAGGGAGATCTGGCTGTCTGGTTGGGGTCTGGGGTCGTGGGTTGCTTCGCTCAACGTTGGGCAGGAGAGCCTGCTCATCAGCACCCCAGCAGAAAGGGTTGAACTCTGGGAACCGGCAATGGTTGTACCCCATGTGCAGCAGTACCAGGACCAGAGTGAATAGGGTGTGCATGGGGAGCATGAGTGGGTGTCCTGCGTGCATTTTTATGTCTTTGGTTGTATGTGTATGTGTGAGCATGAGGGAGGGACTGTGTGACTGTGTCTGTGTATTACTGTATATGTCAGGTGGGGCCTTTGACTCCTCCCTTCTCCTGGGACTTCTTTTGATGCCATACATCTTCGTCTCCCCTCTCCCTGTCACACTTGGTGTGGAGTGTGGTGCCGTAGTCTGCCTAAGTGTTCGTGGCTCCCGGGTCAGGGGGTTTAAGATTTTTGGCTTCTGCCTGGTCCATCCCGGTGGCTGCCTGGTGGTATCTGGGTCCCTGGGCTCTGCTGGGTCCTCGGCGGGGTTTGTCGCCCCTGGGTCCCGAGTTGCTGGGTACCAGGCTTGGCCGGCTGGGGGGTGGGAGGCTGTGGGCGGGCGTATGGGCTTGCCGCTGATATCTCCCGGGACTCTGCCGGCTGCTGGTTGTGGCCCCCCGAGGTGATCCTCTGTGCCTCTTGAGGGGGCAGGGGCTTTTCTGGTCGCTGTCTCCTTGGGGTCCCTGTGCTCTGCAGCAGCTCATGGATCTCTGTGACTTGGAGCTCCCTCCATCTCTTATGCATCTTTGGGGGGCAGATCTGTGGCCCCTCACTCTCTCTATTGGACGCTCCTACAGAGAAACCTTACACACACAGGTGCTCACATGGTGCTCTCATAAGAATGGACTTGGGCACATTCAACACATCTTAAGGCTGTGGTTGGCACTAAATGCACTGTAATTTATTATCATGTGATTGTTCAGTAAAACAATGTTGATTTTACATTTCTTCATCAAGTTGACGCAGTGATAGCTTGCTCCTGTTGTATTGTTGTGTGTCCCTTTTCTGCAGGTCTAGAAGCAGACTCTTGTTCATCATTGATTGTTTATTTTTGTGGAAAACATCAGCAGGCATGGCTGGGTTGGTTTAGGTTTTAGGCCACGTGTGGAGTGGTAAGACGTTTACATTTTCTTTTGTTTAAATAGCAGAAAATCATTTCCATCAGACTTTTCAGATATGCTTTCAGAGAAACTCCCTCATTGGTGATTGATATAATTTAGGCGTCCGAATGCAATCAACTCAGCCGTCTTTAACTGCAGCACAGATTTGGTGCAAATTAATGCAATGATGCATCTGCAGAAGCTGAAAACTGCTCAAATGGAGTGAAATATTTTGAACACTCCAGTGTTTTAAAGACATACTGAGCTGAAAGAAAGAGTGGAAAAAGACTAGAGCAAAAACAGAAAAGTTAAAATAGAGCCTCCGAATTCATCCATCAGATTATAAAACAATTACTTTCTGTAAGAAAATGGGCATGCTGTAAAATGCTGTAGGATGAGGATGCATGATGGGTTTTAGTTTGATAATCTAATAAAACCTGGTGGTCAGGAATATCTTTCACATTCCTTTACAATCAAGACAAATCTGTTGACCCCTCTGCTCCAGCGGGAATACGTCTTACAGCCTGGAAATCAAAAACCGGAGCACAGATGGTGGTTCGGCAGATTGGATTAAGCCTCAAGTCTTCAAAGAAGTCCCTCTCCGCTGAAGCTGCTTACTTTCTTCATGCTAATACTGTTTACATGTTCCCTTCCACCACTGGTCGAGTAAAACAGGAACTCAGAGCAGCACAAAACACTCCAGCGTGTGAATATTTACAGTCAGGGGTGTTTAATACTGAGTGGGCAAACCTTAATGCAGCATCTCTGCCTGAGGCGAAGCCAGGGGACCCCGACTGACAGAAAAACCCTCCTCTCCCTTTTCTTTGGCTTTAATCCTGGAAGCAACCCCCACCCCTTTGCCCTGTCTCTGGCTCTAATATGAACACAGTCACACAGGTCTCAGGGGAGAAAAAACACGTAATAACACCTTTATTTAATGTCATTTTACGCCCGTGCTCGTCTTTGAGTGTGATCATCATTCAGGCTCTTTATTACACTGAATTTAACTGGTTGCACAGGTTTCGTTTCTCCAACCTGAGGTTTGAATGATTTAAAATTCTTCCTGGTTAAACAAACATCCATTTTAATGTCATTGATTCCTATGAAGCTGAGTTTCTTTACATGTTTGAATAAAAATAAAAAACTAATCAAGTGCGTCGGTTCCTCTGAGCACTGTAAAGTTTCACTTAGTGCGTGGAGAATTAAATGCAAGGCAGCTGACGAGCAATTAACATCAATTACAAGAGGAAAGAGTGTGAATGTGACTTCAAAGTAGTTTCTGTTTCTATAGTTTCAAAACCGCGCAGCTTTTCAGGCAAATGGAGTCGGCTCGTAATCAAGTCTCATCTCACACTTCACTAAACCTGGTGAAAATCAGGGTTTGAGAGCGACCGCTCATAAACAGCCATTTGATGGCTTCTGCTGCCTCTCTTCATGAATGCACCGCTGGACTTTGCTTGTTCCTCAGATAGCGGTAACGCCAAATAGATTTGTGAGCCGATGGCGGCAAAAGAAAGTGAACAAAGCATTAAAGGCGGTGGTCAGTTAGAATAGAGGAGTGTCTCTGTTGGCTGCACAGACTCTTTCTTCCTCATGTTGCACTCGTCAAATAAAATAGAAAAACAGGAAGTAGATGAGAAGCGCTCCGACCAAAACTAAGAAGTAATGTTCTAAGGAATCCAAGATGATCGAAGACACCTTGAAAGGTGCAGGTGCAGCGATCCAAGTCCAGGCAGAGCAAGGTCAAGGCCCGTCTTCCTCATCTCTGGTCGTTCTAAAACAACTGAAGGATGATTTTAATTAAACTGTGCAATCTGAGCGTTGAGGGGTCACTAAAGTACAAACACTATTGCTTTATTCCAGCTCTGAACCGAAACCTCGCTGGCGGTCAAGGTGAAAGAAGAATAAGTACTTCCCAAACATTACTTCCGGATAACTAAAACTAAGGAGTTGTTGGTCTGTATTAGACAATTTGCACTTTTTATGCACAAATGTTTAGACTGATTTACTGCGGAGTCCTGAAGAGGACAAGAGGAAAAAAAGTGCTCCGGTGTGCACACGAGGCACAAGCAGAACGATTGTGTTCACATTCCATGTTGTTCTTTTTTAAAACACAGAAACGGTTTTGTTACCTGTTATTGACGCTACAGTTTCGCCGACGTCTGCCGGCTTCTTCAGGCTGACACTGATGGTGGCGCGTCACTTTCTTCTCCGTTTATCTGCGGGCAGATGGATGAAGGAAGCAATCGAGATAAGGAGACGTGGATGTGGGACCATGAACAGGGACGACGGAGTTTACACACTGGATCACGCATGGGACTGCATCGTTGGAGAGGGGAGAGCGGGCAGCAGGGGGCGACAACGTCCTCTGCTGCCCGCAGATAAACGGAGAAGGAAGTGACGCGCCACCATCAGCGTCAGCCTGAAGAAGCTGGCAGCCGTCGGCGAAACGTAGCATCAATAACAGGTAACAAAACCGTTTCTGTGTTTTAAATAAAGAACGACAACATGGAATTAGAAATAACGCACAGCAAGAACACACCTAAGATTGTGTTCACACATACAACCATACATTTAAATTAAATGTTCCCTCAGTTCTATTTTAATTTAAACAGGAATTTAAGAAATTGCTCTTTTTTTTTTCTTTTTTTTTTTTGTTTAAACGTAAGCATCAGCTTGAGTTTGGTTCTGCTTTGGTTTCATTTCGGAAAAATGGAAAACTCAAGGAAGAGTCGGAAATCAACAAAAACTAAAGGATTTAGGAAAATGTTCCGCGGATAAGTTTCGAAGTTTAAACATTTATGAGCTGAGTGAGAAAAGTGCAGCAGCGCTCCTCCAGTGTCCCCATCAGGGCAGCGTAGTTTCTCCCGCGTACAAAACTGGTAATAAACCTAATCTTATTTTATTTGGTTCCCTCCTCTGGTGTCCAATAGAAAAGGCAGTAAAAAAAATAAATGTCTGCATGTTGTTCACATCATCTGGTAACTGAATAAATATTATTTGTTAAAGCCTGTCCCTCTGTCCAGGGTGTACCCCGCCTGATTGCCCATTGACCACTGGAGATAGGCACCAGCCCCCCGCGACCCTACGTGGACAAAGCGGGTTCAGAGGGAGGAGGAGGAGGAGGAGGAGGAGGAGGAGGGGATGGATGGATGGATGGATGGATGGATGGATGCATGAATGCATGGATGCATGGATGCATGAAAGAATGAAGGAAAGAAAGAAGGAAAGAAAGAAAGAAAGCCTGTCCCTTACTAATGACAGAAATGTGTTTGCGTGATGTAACTGTATTCCTCCGGTTGGTCGAGGTGACAGTCTGGGGAACATCTACAGCTTCTCGCTATGAAACCAATTAAAAAGAAAAACGTGCAAAGACAAAGTGAATTTGTATAAATCACATTTATTCTAATCTAATATACATTTACGTTTATTAGACAAAACAACCAATAATTCCAATTTTCCTATTGAATTTTCCATTATTTATAAGCAATTTGTAACCATAACAAACAGAATATTGACTTTAAACAATGAATTTATAATAATTAGGGCTTGATGGTGATACATTTCCATAAGGCAGGTGCACAGAGACTACAGACTGATACTATAATAATATTTGGTCGGAGCAGCATTGATGCCTGATTTCACAAATCCAGATGAGGCATCATTAGATATGCAGGAAGCTTGACAGCCAACATGTTACATTATTCATCCTTGGAACATTTTCCCCTCCGTGCTACGTCTGTTGACACACGGAGACACAGAAAAATGTGTCTACAAAATTCCTTTTTCATTTTGGCGGCAATGACATGATATGCAAATGTTTGGGGATGTAAATGAACATTGGTCAACTGAATTTAAATGGTGATATTATGGTGCACAAATGTTTTGGAGGTTCAAATCAGAATCAAAGCAGCTCCCAGACAGATCTAATGAAACTTCCTGCAGTAGGAATGTTTGGTGCGTGCATGTACAGGTTATGATATAGGTCTCTAATTATTACTGGTGAAATCACCAGGCTCAGATTTGATAGTTAGCTGACAGTCTGACCTTTTTTCAGTTGTCACGCTGTCCAACCATCAGAAACAACCTGACCTTCACTAGATGGTACCATCAGAAGACTGCTTCCAGGACTTTTAATCTAAACATTTCCTTTCAAATACCGTATTTTCCAGAGTATGAGTCGCACCAGCCATAAAATGTATAATGAAGAAGAAAAAAACTTATATAAGTCGCACTGGACTATAAGTCGCATTTTGGGGAAAAATTTTATTACTTTTCTTACAAAATCTGAGACCAAGCGTTTCACATTGCAAGACAAGTACCGGTAACAGTAACGGAATAAACAACCAGGGTGCAGCAGCATGCCACGGTCTCCAGCAGAGGATAGCAGTGTTTCAAACCCTCCCAGCGGGATGGGGAGCTCATTCCTGGGTCGGAGCCGGCCCGCAGCAGGGCGGTATACATAATTTGGTACATAAGTCGCAGGACCAGCCAGACTATGAAAAAAGTGCGACTTATAGTCTGGAAAATACGGTAAACATTAAACCCGTTTCCACTACCGGAGCCGCCGGGTAACTTTACCGGACATGCACATGTCTCCACTTCACCGGGCCAGCCCAAAAGGCACTTTTCCGGGCCAATCGAAGACCTGAACTGGGATATAGGGAGCAATCTTTGATACCGCTGCTGTCTCTCTTTCTGTCGTGAACTCAAAATTAACCATTTAGATGAACGCAAGTCCATGGGGCTAAAAACGTTTTTTTCTATTTCCGTTTGTTACGTGCCAAGGGTTTCACATATGATGTTCATGAATTTTGAAGACACATTCTGATGCCAAGAAAGTGATTATTTTCAAACTGGGGCAAAGATTATTTTAGGTTTTGTGTGAAAATACATCCAGGTCGACAAACGCGCATCACCAAAGCGACGTCATTGGACCAGACAGGAGAAGAGTGGTGAAAAAAGCCACTAAGTTTTGCGAGCTTTGAATCCTTTTGGGAGGAAAGAACCACCATAAATCTGGCCATGTGGTATGTAGCAGCTACGCTGGTGGAGAGGAGATCCTGTGGTGACGTCTTATATCCAACAAGCTGACTTCTGATGTGTTGTTATAGCAATTATGAATCTTTACGAGCTAATCAATTTCATGTCTGGCATGGTCAAAACGCATCATTACTTTTCATTTAAATTAGGGCAGATACCGATACCAGTATTGGTGTTGGTAAAAGTTAACAGATACCAATGCAGTGGCCTGAAAGTGGCTTCACTGTAACTCATCATTTCTGTTCACCTAATATTTTAGTTTTGTTATCATTTATAATAATATTATTTATTATTATTTTTAATTTACCTCACAGTCTTTTCCTGTAGAAAGCAGAGAAGAAAATAAAACTTGTATTCTGATTCATTAAATTTTTTTGTGTGGTAAAAGTATCGGTATCGGCGAGTACTCAGATCAAAGTTTCGGAATCAGATAGCGATGGGTACCGAATTCGGTACTTTTTAAGGCACTGACCGAATTCCATAGTACCGACTGAGCACCGATTCACGTCATTTGAAACGGTGCCTCGTTTCGGTACCCGTCCTTCATAACGAGAACTTGCCTAGACAGCTGCGCATGCGCAAGAGCGTTATGTCGTCGGTCGCTGCGAGCCAGTTGTAAACAGAGCAGCATGGTAGAAAGAACGCACGCTAAAGCTTGGATCCACTTCACTAAATGTGATGGGTAACTGGGTGATGATGAAACCAGCGACAACGATCTAAGTGAGACATCCTCATCTTAATCTGCTCCGGTAGGTAAATAAAATGTTTAAGATAACGTTAGCTTGATATGTTAGCTTCCGTTCCGCTAATGGTACGTTCGTTTTCTCCTTGGAACTCCGAATTTCCGACTGGAAGAACATGAACGCGCTCTAAAGTTTGGCTTCACTTTACTAAATGCGACGGGTGATTGGGTGAAGATGAAACCAGCGACAACGATCTAAGTGTGAGGCATCATCGTTTTAATCTGCTCCAGCAGCTAAATAAACTGTTTAAGATAACGTTAGCTTGATATGTTAGCTTCCATTGCCACCGTTGTTATCAGCTAATGGTGCGTTCGCTTTCCCCTCGGAAATTCTAACTTCCCATTAGGAAAAATCTAATGAAAAAGGACGGCAAAAGGAATGAAGATACACAGTAAATTTAGTTCACAGTAAAGATGTTTGCTTCAGTTTAATTATCAGCTTATAAAACTACAAGGACAATGTTAAAATTTAAACAGTTGTATGTTATTTATCGTGATATTTATCAAATATGGTTATATATTGAGAAAAATATACATTTAATTATAAAAGAGAATTAAAATATTAAACACTCAAAAGTATCTAAAATTGGTACCATTAAGTACCGGTATCGATTCCTAGGTACCGGGAATTAGTACCAAATCGATTCAAATGTCAAAGGTACCCATCCCTAGTATCAGATCGGTTTGGACAAAAGTGGTATTGGTGCATCCCCAATTTAAATAGAACATATGTGTGATTCAGGGCGTAAGGCAAAGCAGATTTGAAAATAGCTCTTCCACCGCGTTCACTTGCATTAATGTTTCTGTTCTTCCGAGGAGCCATGAACCGACCGGAAAGGGAGGAGACTTAGGGCCGTGATTAGAGCTGAAACAACTAATCGATTTAATCGATTATAATCGATTATTAAAATAGTTAACAACTTTTTTAGTCATCGATTAGTTGTTTAATAATCATATTTTACCGCATTAAGTCTATTTTTACCACAATCTGACATCGGTTACAAGCTGTTAAATTTGCCGCCAGTGTGTGGCAGTAATGAGCCACTGATCTACCAGTGGAGCCGTAGAAGAAGAAATGAGCCAATGAGTGCCCTCGGTTTTCATGACGTATCACGTTACTGACGCTCATCTTGCTGTGAGAGATGGCGGAACAAGAGGAAATACGGAAGAAAAATAGAAGCGACAAAATTTTAGAGAAACCCCGGACAAAAACCTCACGAGTATGGGAGCACTTCACTAGATGCATTGAAAAGGCAAAATATGCAAAAACCATCTAGCATGGCACGGAAGCACGACGTCCCTAAGTGAACATTTGAGACGAAAACGTGGGGGCTGAGGAAGAGCACCGCGGTCAAGTGAGCCGTCATTTGGAAGAGCCAGCCCGGTAAGTAACAGAAAATAAACAAGCTGGACTTAGTGTTTTAGCTGAGTTCGTTATAGTGGATGTTAAACATGTTTTTTTGCCGCGTCAGTCTACGGTGTTCTACTTCTGATTGACTAGATGCAATCGTGAATCTCCTCCGTGTTGTGAATCATGCGCTTGCCAAATTTAGCACGTCTGTTTATAAGAATGTTCTAGTTAAGAGAAAAACGGCACAAACCCATAACTATGTTTCTCATTCAAAAAAGGACAACTCCGCGGTGAAAAATATACAGACGAGCTGTGTCCAGGTGAATATAACGCGGCATAGTTGTACGCTTTCAATTTTTAAATACAGGAGAAATTCAGAAAAAGTCATTTTTTTACTATTAAAAGGCTGTTTTACTATCTAACGCTGTAAAACGCCTCACAACACATTTTTATCATGTTTCTTAAACAGTATTACACAAAATAAACATTTTTCACATTTTTCTAGCTAATTTAAACACTCCCGACTCAAAGTAAAAACCTCATGAGCTTCTTACTTAGAGCTTTTTAATAGTAAAAAAATTAGACTTTTTTTCTGAATATCTCCTGTTGCGGGCTATTTTGTAGAACGTAACCCTCAAAATAAATGATCACTGTATATTGTTAATTAATTCAAATAATATAATATTGATTTAGTGTTGTAGTGTGTGTGCTGCTTTATTTTATATGTGTACTTATTTCAGACTATTTGTGTTTCTTATGCAGAAAAAAAACAAGCAACGATGGACAACTACATGGGGAAAGAGACACTCACCCCCCAGCAATTCATACCACTTACAAACTCTATTCTAAACATGCTGGTAAAAGACATGAGGCCACTATCCATGGTGGAAGGAGCAGGCTTCCAGCTAATGCTAAAAAATTATTCTGGACTGATATTTTGCACTGTTTAGCTCATTTTATACTGCTGACTGTGTTCATGTGCAATAAAATAGATTGCAGTCAACTGCACAATTCTCTTATGTTTTTTTTTCTTAACTGAAATGCATCCATCACTTGTATAGGTTAAATAGCTAAACAATAACAAACCGATTAATCGATTAATCGAAAAAATAATCGACAGATTAATCGATTATGAAAATAATCGTTAGTTGCAGCCCTAGCCGTGATATACTTGCTGTTTGACCTTGGGTTGGTAAAGGCAGCGGGCTGCGTCTTTGTTCACATACTTGCTGCTGCACAGCACTGCACTTAGTACTGGGGACACTAGGGGGCGCACTAGACTACTCAGGCAAGACAGAGAGCTGGGTTTGTGGGTAAAACCAAAACAAACATGGCATCAATAGAAGAGATCAGTAACTGGTTAATTTTGAGTTCACAAAAGAAGACGAGACAGCAGCGGTACGAAAGATGGTACAAAAGACCTCTAAACCAGAGACGGAGTCACCATGGCGAGTTTTGTTGACTCCACCTACAGGTCACTCGTATATTGCAGCGTTTGGACACGTCACATTTATTTCGGGTGACGCACATAAAAGACGCTTCAAATCATCGCAATAACGCATGGCAGCCATTTTAAACATGTGTTTACATTGTCAAACAGCAAGTATGTCACAGCCCTTAGGCAGACGGAAATTATAGCGATGCTGGCGAAGCTTAATGCATGGAAATTAAAATAGGAAGCATTCGCGCAACTTTAAAATTGTTATTTCTAAATTCCAAATGCCAACAAATATGGAAGGAATCCCCCCTCAACACACTAAATCATGCCGCTTTGTAGCCTCCTACAGAGCGTTGTAAAAATCTGCATTTATTCTGTTCATTGAACGCCACTTTCTACAATTAACGCTCTCCTTGTTCCTCAAATTAATTTAGATATGATGCATTCTGACAGACTAAAATGTCTGTGGATGCCTTTTGCTCATCAGTGACGTCGCTCACTGCTGAAACGGTCGTGATAAACTTGACGGCTAGTTGAAAGGGCCAATACGGCAGACAGAACTGAGCCAATCTATTTGTCCCGTCACCTTCCCCCCGTCCCAAAGATTTCCTGGAACACAGCTTACAATTTTGTTACATGGCTAAATCCTAGAAGGCTTATTGATTTGTTTTTTAGCACCTTAGAGGTCCAGTGTGTTAGCCTGGCAAGCCAGACTAAATACACGGCTCTCGGTTGTGCGGTGGGTTCTACCGTTGTCTTTCAAATGATCTCCGCATGCTACTGGACAATGAATGTGACATACTTACTGCAACAGCTATCGGTAAGTGAGGCAGTCTGCAGTTGAAGGAGAAAACACGTATTTTTTTCTTTAAAAAAGCACTTAAATACATCTGCTCTTGATTCTGATGAAGCCCAAGTTCTAATAGTCCAAAATGGATGTAAAAGCCGTTTCAAACGAGCTGTCGCCATCTTGTTTCACTCTGTTGCATCATCCCACCCACCGGGCATATAGAGTGCCCTGATTGACCCACAAAGCGGATAAAGCTCTGTGATTTGTTCACTAAGCAGATAGAGCACTATGACTGGCCCACCATTATGGACCAATCACAGCTCTTTATGTGTTTGAAACCTCTCTAGAGAGCTGTGATTGGCCAGCCAGAATGCTGTTAGGGGCTGCAGAGGTTCCAGTGGAGCGTTCCTAGACCAAACTTTGCAAAGCAATAATTTAGTCTAGTTCACTAGGCTACCAATGTGTCTGAAGACGCCAGCGAACTGTCAGGTGGTCTAATTAAAGCAATTTCATGGTTGCCACATCTTGGGGGGGATTTTAATCTGAAATGCACCAGTGTGTTTATGCAAACATTCAAAATTAAAAAGCATATCCCTGAAAATTAGCTTCATTCTGTTTCTCTCCCTCAAGTTTGAAAGCCTTGCCTAAGGTAAACTGATACGCCACCCTCTAGTGGAGCTGAACGTTTGCATTTATTCTCCACAATCACATTTGGTTAAAACCTAATTGGGAGAGGCAGGGAGGCAGAAATGGAGGGACAACAAAAGCTATAACAAATGCAATTACATCGATACGAGAGAAATCCGAAAAGGAGGTTAAGAAAAATATCAAAAACGTGTTTTAGAGGTCTGATAAAACCCCCAAAGGTGTCGCACATTAATGTGTGTAGTGCTGAGGAAACTCTTCCTCCCATCACAATTAGAACGTTGCACATCAGTTAACCAGCATACATATTTATGTCCCATCATGAAGCACATCTGCAGTTTCTGAGCCGCACGAGAGGCTGAGATCAGGAGAGCAGAGAGGCATCCCACCCGGCAGGAAGACGGGTGTCACCTTTGTCTGCCTCTTACCCCCCCCCCCCCCGAGGATGTTTCTAATGAAAACGGACTGCTCGTTCCTCACAGCAAAGCTTTTGGCCAACCGTCTGCAGACATGTTACACAATAGTCTGATGTTAATTGTGACTAATAATTCCAGTCCTCGTCCTGTTCAGCCATCAAGCCAAGGTCTGAGCGACGCCCAGACTGCCATGGATGGCTGCCGGGGAACAGGGGTGCAGCGGCGAAATGGAAAAATAGCACACACGGTCTTGTTAATTATTTGTTTAATAAATATGCAATAACTTCAGTTCCTGGGGCAAAAACTGAGCTCAGAGCTGTATTAGAGTCGGTATGCGTGCCTAAAAATACTTCAGCTGGAATGTCTGCAGAACCTATACACGCGTCTTTTTTTCTTCTTACTGGATGTTCATGTTTGTTAGACTTTCTTTTTCTTTATTGTTTTGTGGACTAGGCTAATCCCGATTATCCCCCGGAACGCCGAGACATGGCTTGCTTTGCTCTTCCCTCTCCACAAATAGCTCAATTTTTAATCATTAAAGTCTTTAATCACCCACCACGGCTCATATCGGGGGTTTTAGAGGGCGATAACGAAAGTTGGTGAGAAAGAGTCCTCCAGTGATGACAACAATACTGTTTATCCCTAATCTTTTATTATACTGGTACAAGACCATTAAACCAACTGCCCGATATCCATCGTGGATGACTCTGCAAATCTCCTTCGCACAAATGCTGGTTTGAATTCAAATGTTATTAATCATGTTAATGCAGACATGTTGTCATTCAGTTTTAAACTAACCAACAGCTGAGCTAAAAACTGAAAAAATACCTCTAAATGTAAAACATACAACATTCTGAAAACGTTTATGCAAAACCTGAGTGAGTTATCGTTTTAGGCGTCAGGATTTCATGTTTTGCCTCTACCTTCTCTTAATGCAAGCTTTTTCTGTTCTTGTGTCGGTAATTTCCGACAAATTATCAGGTGTGACGCTGACATGCCCAAAAACCATCTGCAGAGGAATGAGGAGGAAGAGAAAAAAGGAGGAAATGGGTGGGAATGAAAACCAAGAGAAAAGAAAAGGCTTAAATCCCCCGGTAGGATGGTGAAGCTTTGGCCATACAAACAGACCGTAGCAGAAGCAAAAGGATTTTGCTCTGCAGCTTGGTCTAGACACGCTCCATAGGAGCCTCAGCAGCCTCCGTGTCGTGCCAATCACAGCGCTCCATCGATTTGGTGGGCGGGATTTTCCTGCGGCGGGACAAAACAACCAGGATGGCAGCGAGTCTTAGTCCGGAACGGCGCTGCTCTGGGTGGCTGCATGTTGGAGTAGCTCTGTTGACTATATGTAAGTTTTGCCTTTTCTTGGACATTTTTTCTTCTAGTTTCTCAAGAAAAATTGTATTTTTTTGGACACTTTACTTTTCTGTTTCTGGTGCTGTGAAGCCTGAAGGATTTTTACGGCTATTTTTTAGCTTTTTTCACTTTTTGAGCATTTGCATCGATCATAATGGGCAATGTGAGATCACTGGCCAACAAGATGGAGGAACTCCAAGCCCTCCATGCGTAAACATGGCAACAAGCTGGTTTACAATCGGGAGCAGCTGATTAACATTGGAAAGGCTGAAATAATACCTCATCTGAAGCCACAAATCCCAAATGAGCTAAAACGCAAGAAGCGTGCGTGCAGAGCGGGAGCAAAACGGAGACAAAGAGGAAATTCAAACCATCTCTTCCATCGATCATAATGGGAAACGTGAGATCACTGGCCAACAAGATGGAGGAACTCCAAGCCCTTTCAAGGACTCAGCCAGAGATTCGGCAGTTTTGGAACCGCTGGAGGAGATAATGCAAAGAAGGATTCTCCAGAGAATCAAGAAAATGATGGACAACCCTGAGCATTCTTTTCACAAGACTGTCCGACAACGGAAGAGTGTCTTCAGTCAGAGGCTTCTTCAGTTTGGCTGCAACACTGACCGCTACTGGAGATCCTTCCTGCCAACAGCCATTGTAATATACAACAACTCTTTGATGACTTGATTATTATTATTATTATGAGCTACTACAGCAATCAGTTTCCCTCTGGGATTAATAAAGTATTTTTGAATTGAATTTGAGTACTTAGTACTCCTTAGGAAAATGATGTATTTGTGTCTTCTTCAACATGGTGGATTGCCCCACTGACTGACATTCGTAGCAGTGAAAAAGTCACATTGTTTGTTGCCCAATAGCGTGTGGAGACTGTTTAAAGGAGAACTGTAGACTCTGCCCCATGACGGAGATCAGATTATGGGTCGAGGCCAGACTATATACTCACATTTATAGGATGGCTTGCCAGGCTAGTAGAAAAAGGATTGCCCCCTTTACCACCAATCTCAAAAGATCCAGCTCAACTAAAATGGAAAACACCAAAATTATTTGTTCATCAGTTCCTCTCTGGGATATGAGCTGTAAACCCATTAAAGGAGTTCAGTTCTCGGAAATTTCTGGAAAGGGGGAAGGTTGGCAGAAAGAATATGCTGGCTCTTTCTTATCAGCCATTGTTTCCATACCAAAATTGGCTTTTTCAGGACTTTGCTGAGACGCTGGGAAATAGTTTCAGCAGTGAGTGAGATCACTCATCAGCACCAAAAGGCTTTCACGGACACAAAAAATCATTTTTATTCTGTCAAAGTTCACTAATTCAATCCGGGTTTTCAGCGTAGGGAGTTTAGAAATGGCGTTT